GGGTTAGTCTTACAACAAACATACCCGTCTTTCCCAGTAAGGCAAGAAGCAGACTAAGTCATAAACTGGAGTTATTGTCTGAACCAAAACCGCGTTCACTCCAGTGAAAAGCAACAATCCCATCAATGGCCTTGTTCTGTGAGGCATCCTTACCAATTTATCAGCTCTGCAATCATGACTTGAAATCTCAAAATCAAATAAATGCTGATTCTATGATTATCTCATCAAAACCTAATCACAAAAAAAAAAAAAGCTTCTGAGTTTCAAAGGCAAAAAGCTCTTCCTCGTATAAGAATCGAAACAGAGTGAGAGACCCACCACTAGTTCATGTACGAAGAAACTTACGGAGAAGTATCGTCACCGGCGTCTACGTTTCCAGTTTCCGAGCAGCGATCTTCGCCGTTGTTTCTCTCTCGTCGTCGCCGTCGCCGGCGATTAGAGCAAATTAGGTTCTCTGTATTTTACTTTTTTTTTTGTTTCAAACCGGCTTAAAATGTTTATAGAAGAGGAGTAGATTCGTGTCCGGTTTAGTTTGGTTAATGATGGAATTATCTCGGTTCGATTAAAAAGTGTAAAAAACTAACGAAATTGAGACTGTCAAGCTTTGATGCATTTCTTCTATCTACCTTGAAAATATTCAATCCATAACACCATTCTGGCATTAGAGCATTTTTCCAATGGGGAATTCTTTATGAGTTTCTAAGAAACTTTCTCATAAATTTAAAAAAAAAAAAATTAAGAGAGTGTAAAATCGGTTTTTTGTTTTTGTTTTTGTAGAATGTCATGAGAAACTCATCTCTTAGACACATATCTTTGTTTCATTGGTTCAACTTTTTGAATAACAAATCAAATACATAATACTTTAGAAAGAAAGAAACCACTAGAGATGCTCACATATCATATGCAATAATAACATCATGAAATTTAGTGATAATTCATAAAGTTGATTTCATGCGTAAGAAAGAAACCACAAAAAACCAGTTTTCATACCACATTTATATTTAGGTGTTGTTCTATCTTTGATAGACGTTCACATATCATCTTCATTCCATCCTGCATCATCTTCATCTGCTCTTGAACCAATGTGTAAATTTCATCAAGTTTCGACTTGTTTGAGCTAGGTTGTGGTTGGACATGCTCTGTTGCGAAAGACGGATATGATTATTGTGCAATTGCTTCTGTTGCATTGACTATGTCAATTGATCTATGGTCCCAATCATACTTAGTGATTCGATAACCTTGTTTTACCAATTTAACCACCTCATCGAGCTCTGCATCTGCCACATCTTCTATTGATACTGAATCTTCCTCATCTTCATCAAGTGGCGATAAGATGCATGTTACCATCATGTGAAAAACAAAAAATAATCAAATTCATACAGATTATTAATAGAAATAGCCAAACTCTCTCTTTCTTTGACTAATAATGCACAATATTTGCTCAAAACAATAACTCATCTTTCCTCAACTCCATCTTTATCAACAGACCTAAGAAAATGTTCCTTATCCGTAAGAACTCCATTGGCGAGAGTATTTCTTTCACGACACCTATATAATCAAATGACGTGAACTGGTTTATGACACCAGATCTTGGCTCAGTTGTAAGGCCTAATTTTGGCTCAGGCAATGAAATCTTCACAGGGAATGAATCTCCTTCCATATTTGTACCTATAAGAAATATAACTGTTTGTTTACAATTTATGAAGGGTTAATCAAATGGTATATCTTCTACATAGATAAATATATTTTATCTAACAAAATTTAATATGCATGACACTTAGATTAAATATAAACGTTTTTGAAGTGTTTTTTTACGGTTTGAAGTCGAGCTTGAAGGATCCCCTGTCTCATGTATTTAATAAAACAAAAATTTATTGCTTTGTAACCAAGTCACAAGGTCAAATTATCATGATCATATTTATTACGATAATAAATAAATAAAAAACAAAATCTAATTTTCCTTAGAACAAACCTCAGGTGGAGTATAGAACATGTTGAAGGAAGGCATGTCCGATAAGGCATCCACTTGTTTGCCCTTCTCTTTTAAGCGAACAAATGAAAAACTAACAAAGAAACACATATCTCGTTTTAAGAAAGTCTTCCTAAATCATAAATTTGTTGGAAAACGTTATAAACTTGATAAAGTAAAGAAAATCAAAAGCAAAGGTAGTCCAAACGTTACTA